ATGATTTGTATGCCGACGAAATTTGGGGTCGCACAAACTTCAAAATCCCTTCTTCTGCGTCGCGAGGAAGACGGTGTGGAGTTCGTGGGCGCCGAAGGGCTAGGGTGGTCGTTGGTGAGCATTCAGGCGGAGGAGACCGCTTCAGCGAGAAGTACCGTAGAAATGGAAAGTGCAGCGACCGCAAGGAAGGTGAGGATCGACGGAAGGGAGGGGAGAGAGAGGGGCTTCGCCTTCAAGCTCCGAAGTTCAGAATTTAAACATATATTACTGAAATAACATTCAAGCATATAATTTTTGGGATTTTTACATACATAACACTTAAAATATTTCAAAATACATATTTAACATTCAAAATGTTATATTTATTAATATGCCACTCAAATTTCTTATTTTCATCGGTTATAATACTCCGTCTTGCACCGTTAGAAATCCACATCTGGTCTTCATTTCAAGCGAGCAGATTCTTCCCCGTCTTAAGCCGTAGCATTCTCCATCGATTTCGTTCGCGCAAGCATTGTCTTTCGCATCTGAAGCCGTCGCCTTCACCATTGATTTCGTACTGTTCGATCACTTCGCAGGAGCTTGGCAAGGTATGCATCGTCTTCCCCGTCTAAAGCCTTGTCCGGGATTTAGGGTTCTAGTTTTTTTTTCATTGATCTAGCTCGGCAAGGAATGCATTGTTTACCCTGCATCCTCTATTTCTCATCAGTTTTTTTTTTTTTCCGCAAGGTTCTCATTTCTTTATTTCGGCAAGGTTATGCATCGTCTTCCCCGTCCAAATCCTTGACCGGGATTTAGGGTTTTTTATTTTTTTTGGTCGGATGAGCTTGTCTTCATTTTCATTTTTTTTGTATCATTTTCATTTTCATTGTTTGGCCGGATGAGCTTGGCGAGCATTGTTCTAATTTTTTTTTTTTTCATTGATCTAGCTCGGCAAGGTATGCATTATCTACCCTGCATCCTCTATTTTTCGGCAAGGTCCTCTATTTACTGTTTTGCATTTGAAAATTAACAGTTGGGTGTGACCTGTTTGATTGAATGCCAAGTCATCAATTTTACTTATAATATGGAATGCTTGATGTGTTTGGAAATTTAGAGAATGCCAAGGCAGCAGCAAATTTAGTTATATGCTTGATGTGTTTGGAAATTTAGAGAATGTCATGGCAGCAGCAAATTTAGTTATAAGCTTTTTGTGTTTGGAAATTTAGTTATATGCTTGATGTGTTTGGAAATTTAGTGAATGTCAAGGCAGCAAATTTAACTTATAGGTTGTTTGATTGAATGCCAAGGTAGCAAATTTAGTTTTAATCTGAAATATTTTTTAGCATTAAGTAGCAGTTGAAATCTTGTATAGCTAATTAGCTGCCTTTCTTTCTTTATCTTACAGGTTTAGCATTTTTATACAATGAGTTCAAGTTCTTCGGCAACACCAATTGGAAACCCGAATAATCAAGTATATTGTCATTGCAATTTGCAATGTACAATATATACATCATACAAATCGCGTAGTTGTGGAAGAAAATTCTACAGATGTTCCCGGAATAGATCAGAAGAAGATTGTCATTTTTTTCGGTGGTGTGATGAACTTAATGAATGGGAGCACGATATGAATTATCGAAGAAGTTCAAATGTTGTCGAAACAAGCTTAACTCATGTTAAAGCCGAGCTGTTACAAATAAAAATCTTGTTGGTTGTACTGCTTATTTTAATGTTGATCATAGCAATAGGTGTGAGTAAATGTAACTTTGAGTCAATGTAAGTTTGAGTCAATCAATGTAACTTTCAGTCAATGTAATAGTTGACATGTGTTCTGTTTGAGTCTATGTAAATTTTATTAATAGCAATATAAATATTTTGTCAAACGCTTTGTATCTTTTATGAATAGCAGTTAGTCATTTATGAAACGTGCAAAAATGGTTTCATTCACAATAGTAAACTACCAAAAACAGGTTTCAGTTAGAGCTAAACTGAAAGATAAAGAAAAAAAGGGAACTGTTATGCATCGTCTAACATAAAGAAAGATATAGAGGTATGAAAGATTTTTATCTGTATTCAAAAATGATAGAGAAAGTAATCATTTCTGTATTCAACAGAAGTAAACCAAATTCAGACAACGGCTTGCATTTCTTCCAAAAAACTGTAATCATCCAAGCAATCCAGACAACTGTAATTAACCCAAAATTGTAATCAACCACAGAAATTGTAATCAACCAAAAAAGCTGTACAAAATCACCATTTCAATCCTATCTTGGCTGATGTACTAGGCAGCAGTTCATCCTATCTTGGCTGAGCATTAGATGTACTAGGCAGCAGTTCATTAGAACCAATCTCGTCACCTCCTACATTTAAAGGATTCTTACAAGTGCTTCTATGATGGCCCCATAAGTTATACCAACTACACTTATGACCAAGTTTTCTTTTATTTCCTATCTCTAAGAAATTCTTAATTCACCTTTTCATGGGTCTACCACGAGGTCGAAGTGAAGTCGGCGTAGTCACTAGCTCACCATCACTAACTGCAGCCCACTGTTCCTTTCCAGGTAGGGTTGCGATTGCACCATCATATGCCATTTTGTATCTAATCATAAGAAAATGAAAGTAAAGTAAGATAACTAGTTAATGAATGCATACTTTGAAGCTAACGAAGGAAAGTAACATACCTACATATGTAGTAGTGATCATCAACATACATATGCCATAAGGTATGTTGTATCGTTCCAATGAATGCAGCACTGTGTATACATGGTAAACCACTTAATTCCCAGAATCCACAACTACAAACCTTCTTTTCTATGTCCACCTCGTGCCTTTCATGAAGTCCTTCAACTTCAGCTTTGCTTAAAGTAGATTGACGAATTAGAAATTGATTTTTTCTTGTTGTTATATCTCTAATGTACTCTTTTCTATGTCAACCTCGTGCCTTTCATGAAGTCCTTTTCCTATCTTGATTCTTTTCGAAGATTTCCTCAACTTTCTTATACAAATCATGTAGCTCGTAAGTATTTGCGGCCGTCCATAACAAATTCTGAAGCTTATTGCCATCTTCACAACGAAGGAGTTTTTTAATATTCTTCCATATGTGTCTTATACACACTCTATATTCGGCATTTGGGAAAATAAGCTTTATTGCTTCAATAAGGTCCTTCTCCATGTCGTAGATAAAAGCTAATTGATCAATTTCACAACCAAAACTTTCCGAAAAGTTTCTTAAGAACCACTCCCAAGATTTCTTGGACTATGATTCAGCAACGGCAAATGCTGTTGTGTAGAGACCATTATTGGCATCCAATCAATTTGCGGATAGTAGTACGCCAAGATATTTCGATTTGAGGTGTCACGCGTCAACCCCAATTAAATATCTACATCCAGTAATGAAACCATCAATGCATACTTTGAAGCTAACGAAGAATCGCAAGAATGCATTTGTTTTGCTGTCACACATATATGTAATGTGAGAGCCAGGATTCCTGTTGATTAACTCAGACCTCAGCGTAGGCACCCACATATAGTTATCGTCGACAGATCCAAACATAATATCTCTTGCCAACTCCCTTGAACGCCAAAGTTTCATATATGGCAAGGATAATCCATAACTTGCCTCCAAGTTATTGCTAATTTCCTTTGGGGTGATTTCAGGATTTTTCTTTACAATGTCTTTGATTTCATGAGCTACCCAAGTAGTAGTAGCTTGCTTGTTTCCAGCTCTATTAACCCCATGACATAAATGAGTTGTTTCTAATTTTCTAACTTCGAAGGAGTGCCCATCATGACACAATGATGCACGTACTCTCCATGGACAACCTTTGTATGCGCAAGAAATAATTATTCAGGATTTGTCACTAGCCTTTATCTTGATAGCATAATTCCGTAAAATTGCATTAGACCTAACTGTTTGCTTGAAACTTTGGGAATCCTCGAACCACGAACCAACAAATAGAGTATTTGCCTCATTAGTTTGAGATATAAAGAACTCATCACACAAATCATTTACTACAATATCATTATTATCTTTGATCTCTGAGCTAAACTGATGCATTTCTGTTTGAATGTATTGTGATTGGGGCATATCTTCTTCGTTATATTTCATTGCAACTATCACCTCAATTTTATTCCTTTCATAAGAACTTTCAAGCATTTCAACTACATATGAATCGCTTGAAATCAACAAGTAATTCTTCGGCAATGTTCCATTGACATGATAGTGTAAGTCGAATGGTTGACCCCTTAGTCAATGACAAAGTGTTTCAACACGTTCTTTTAGCAACAACATAGTGATTTCATCTCTTCGAAGTTTTAAACTTTTTTGGCTTCCACCCACATACTTCATTCGAGCCTGACCCTGCACCTCACTCCAATATCCACCGAATTTGAGAATAAAGGAGCAAATATGACTTAAATCCATTTCTGTGAGTGCATAAAATTAATAAGTTAGACAAAGTGAAAAAAGTGAAACAAAATGAGTTAGCCAAACTAATCAAAATTTTCAGTTTCCTATAAAAATTTCAATTAAAACCGATGGAACTGGAACTAAAAATATTTCAGTTTTCATTTTTCTGTAAAGAGATTAGCTCATGTGCGAGAATGTCCAATGTAAAGTTTCAGTTTTCATTTTTCTGTAAAGAGAATAGCTCATATGCGAGAATGTCCAATGTAAAATTTTGGTTTTCTGTTCAAAATTTCAATTAAAACCGTCGCTAATTTTTTTAGTATGTTTCCCTGGACTGGTTCTAGTTTCTGTGAGCGAAAGACACGTTTCTTCTTTTTCTTACAATAAATCTCATAAGAAGAAGCGACGGTCTGACGTTGGAACAGGTACCTTCTCTAGCGAAGAATAGGCGACGGTCGGTCGTCGAAGAACAAGAAGGCTCGGGAACAGGAACGCGCGGAATAGCTAGGAACAGAATTTCCTCGGACAGGGTTTTAACGCAACGTTAACGGAGTGGTATTTTAAAGTATAGAAATGTTATTTGAGTGTTATATTAGTAAATATAATACTTTGAGTGTTAAATATGTATTTTGAAATGTTTTAAGTGTTATGTATGCAAAAATCCCATAGTTTTTTTGTTATATAAATTGACAAGTGTATCACTTCTACATATTTCTTGATATATCTAACATATTTCGGGGCTGTTTAGTAGGAAAAATTATTTGGTTTTGAGTGCGCACCGTTCGCACAAGTACCTAGCGGTACCCAGTGGTATCGAGTGCGGGTACCGCTAAGTACTCAATACTTGTGCGAACGATTTTTCCCGTCTGCACTCCGCACCTAATAATCTCTCGTTTAGTAGCACCTAGTATTTGATTTAAGTAGGATTTCATAAATTTTCTAAATTCGGATTTTGAAACCTTGAGGGGCCTAAATTCGGAAATTTTTTTGGTAATATTCATGATAAATTCTATTAAATTTCATGTGACTGTTTGGCTATATAACATATTTAACGAGTAGATTCTTCTTGAAATTTTTTATTTTTTAATCTCAAGACAAAATTAAGTTGGAAACTTCAAGAATTAAATTGGAGACCATATAAACACCGATTTATGTAAACTTATAGTTAAACTGAACGTCTCGAAAATACAAACCCAACAACACCAAATTCAACTCAATCCGAACCAAAATGACTCCAAATCAAAGACCCGAAGCATATTTGAAAGGTTCAAACCATATTTTGTATTACCAAATGGTTTCCAAACATGACATTCTTATAATCGAATAGAGCGGCTAGACAAGATGAATCCAACAAGCCTAAGATCGCCGAATTCTAATATCACTAAGACATTTAAATGCCCAATAAACGATCCAAGATCAAGATTGATCATCCATTCAAATCACTCTTAATTTAATTTCCTATTCATTTATATTTTTTCTTGATTGATATTATCTTAATCCTATATTGATTTGATCTTAAAGAGATTTTATGATTTTTTTTTTATGCAATGAGATTTTTAATATCACATATTTAGTTAATATATTAAACATGCTCTACCAGAAATTAAGTGATTTGATGATTGAAGTCATTTTGTAAAGGAAGAAAATAAACTAATTCAGTACCAAAGTTTTATCATTTTTAATAGTGATTATATTAGTCCTAAGTCTGTATGTAAAAAGTTGAAGGAAAATTAAAAAACAAAAATTTAGGCCACCCCTAGATATATTTTCTGGCTCCGCCACTGTTCTCGAGCCAATAGATTTCATAAATCTGGCAAAAAATAGGATTTCAGAAATCCGGAATTTAGCACGAAAAGGCAGAATTTTTTGTCTACTGCGACTTTCATTTTCCTTGAGATTAAGTCTTCTGAGCAACAAAAACATATATGAATCCAACAGTCGGTGGTCACTAAACCCTAAACTACCACGAGCAATGAATAATGCCAACACTAGATGTGATAAATTGATATGAATGATATCTCTTTCAGTTATAAAAAATGAAGATACAATATTTATAGTTTGTTTGGATGGTTATAAAACTAATTTACAATAT